GGTTCTGAAACAACAAGAATAGTGAGTGCAGATGCCGAGTGGTCTGTGCGCCATTCAAAGGAAGGAATGACTTATCCTTGTAGCATTTGGCTCAGATTTGTGCCTTATCAAGGTTACTACTTGACGTGGATTTCCTGGATTTTTCCTCATCATTGAAACCTTGAATGTTGTGTGAAAACAGGTCCGCTTTACCTGGAGGGGGTCTGTTCCAACAATAATGAGGGTTTCTTGGGGTCCTCTGAGTATATGTACAGGGTGCCAGAAGAGCTCTGGGAGAAAGGGAAAGCAAGCATTGTGTTAGGTTGAAATTGCTAATATTTAACCATTTTTACCTTAAAAAGTTAAAATTTTTTTGTGTGTTTCCGCCTGTGCTTTTGAGGAGTTCCAGTGAGCCACACCACTAGAGTGCAGCATGGGCGTGGTTGCAGAGTTAGTGGGACGTTAAACTATTGCCAGAGCCTGAAGGATGGTAGAGCCAAGCCCAGGATTACGTAGACCTGAGGGCAACAAGGTGCCATTGAAGAGCTTTAAGGAAAAGAGTGATGGATCAGATCTGCCCTTCAGCACAGTCCTCTGACCATAGACTAGGGTGGGGGTTGCAACAAGACTAGCTTGAGACACAGTTAAAATAATTCAAGCAAGAGAAATTGGTGTTAGTGAGTGAAGTGTATGGATTCAAGAAATGCTGAGGAGGTGGACTCAGTAGGACTAGGGTGCTGATTGGATGCGGGGAGTAGAGAAGGAGGAGCAACAGCTGCTCTCTAGTTTCTGGTTTATGTGACTGGGTGGGTAGTAGTGACATTCTCTGAGACAGGAACACAGGAAAGGAAAACAGGACTGGGGAGAAGCTGCTTCAGGTTCAGACAGATTTAGTCTGAATTATCTGTGATACACGTGAGTAGAGCACACCAGGTAGGTAGTTGGACAAACAGGAGTCTGGTGCTCTGTAGACATGGGTGGGTTAGAGATAGCACATTCATTCACAAATATTTATTGAGTGCTAGGAACTGTTATAGGTACTGGGGTCTCTGCTTTTCATTCTAATGGCGGGGGCTGGCCCATTCAAATTAGTGCTTCCGGGGGGAATTAACAAGGAAATAGGATAGAGAGTGACTGTGGAGGAGGAGTAGGTGATCAGAGAATGACTGTGGAGATAAGGGACCTGAATTACAAGATGAGCCACCTCTGGGAAGATGGGGGAAGAAGTGTTCTTGGCAAAGAAAAGAGCAAGTGCAAAGGCCCTGAGGCAGGATTGAGCAGGTGCATTTGAGGAACTGTGAGAAGGTTGGTGTGACTAAAGCATGGTGCACAATAGAGAGGGCTGGTGAGAGGAGGTTGGAGGAGGGCAAGGGCTGATAGAGAAGCACTTGGGTTTATTCTGAGTGTGATGTTCAGTCATAGGAATTTCGGACATGAGAATGGATGAGATCACTTGGACTGTGTAGAGTGAAAAAAGGAGAGGACTCTGATATTTTTATTTGAAGGGGAGACCTACCTCTAAGGGCTGAGAAGAAACAACCAGAAAAGTAGAAGAGAAAGCAAGATAAGTGGTAAAGAAATATGAGAAAAGAGAACTTTAAAGATGGAGGGAATTATTAAGTGGCACATGATGGAGGGAGGAGTAGAAGGAGAAGGAAAGACTGAAAATGGGGACTGTATTTAACAGCATGAAGATCATTGCCAGCCTTGGAGAAAGCAGTCCTCCTAAATCCTCCTTTTACCCCCACATCCGACATCCTATCACTTTCCGGAAGGATGGAAGTCATATTGCAGTGGACGAAGATGCTAGTGGGGGGCGGGGGGAGTGGGGGGGTATTGGCTAATAGGAGGATGACGGAAGAGGGAGGAGGAGGAAAAGCAAATGTCCAGTGAGAAGGGGCAGGAAACACTGGTGGCTGCTCCAAGTGGCTGCTAGTGTATAAGGAGCACTGATGAGAGAGCCACCTGTCTTAGCCACATCTGTTTGTTAACTCAGAACGGAAGAGTATAGGTGTTATCATTTTGGAGCGTTTGACCACAAAGCACACTGGAATTTGAGCGGTGGGTCGTGTTAGAGGAAGGAAGTAGAGACTAGGTGAGGGGCTGTCCTAGAAGGCCAGTGCATCAAGCAGGGGACAGGATGCTGATTTGGTGGCCACAAGATGGTCACAGCTTACTCAGAGCAGCATTGATATCCTGGGGCCCCTCTCCCAAAGCAGAAGCTGGCAGGTGGCACAGGCTAGGGTGGGAGTCAGGCCTGCAGGGTGGTGCATTGGTGGAAGATGGCGAGCACGCAAGTCCTTCAGCTTACCATCAGGCATGCAGTATTCTTCAGTGAAACCCCTGTTGGAGAAGAAGAAGAATCCCCCTCTGCCCTTTCCCTTAAGGTTCTTCTGGCTGGCCAAATAATTAACAGACAGGTTAGCAGGAGAAAATAATACCAAGTTTAATAACATGTATACATGGGAGAAACCAGGGAAACTGAGTTTCTCAACAGAATGGCAGATTCTCATCTTAAATACCATCTACAGCTAAAGACAAAGAAGGATGTTGGGGGTGGGGAGGGAGACAGAAATCACAGTAATCAAGGGTATGTAGATTTAAGTCTTCTTCCATCCTGATAAGAGTTTTCACAGATAAGGTCATCCCCCACTCTTCCCACTACACAGAGGGAGATACCTTTACAAATATAAATATTTGGTAAACAGAACTTTGTTAAGAATGGGCTTAGCAAGGACCCTGCCAGTCTGTCTACAGCCAGAGTTAAATTCCTTTAGGCAGTTTGGGGGAGGTCAAATGTCCGTCAGAGAAAATAATCAAGGTAAAGAGATATATTTCAGAGTGGCCAATTTTGATCTCCCACACCCCCTTGCAAAGGAAATGAGCTCCAGATCACGTTATACCAGAACTGGATCCTTCTGGAACCCTGTGTACCACGAGATCATTTGGTAATTAAAACAGGAACCTCTGAGCTGAGCACCCAGAAGTACCAGGTACACTAAAAGCAAGCACATATGTTTATACGTGGCAGCCAGTCTTGCATGCTCTATAGCTCCTACTGTGTTTGTTCTATAATTTATAATCTGTTCGGGCCGTTTTCCCATCTCTTTTGTAAATCTCTGGAGATTAGGCTCCGTGGATTACTCATTTTTGCCTTCCTCTCCAGTGCCATGTACATATCAGGCACTCTTGCAAATGCTCAAGGCTTAAAAATCTGCCAAAGCCACCACATTCCACACTCCGCACCCCCCCCCCCCCACATCATTCCAGTTACATTTCATGAGCAGTTGAGAAAATGGCCTGGTGTTTCCTTTGGCTAGAAGCAATTGGTATTGCAAAAGTGGGTTGTTAACCTTGGAACTTGTCTGCAGCTGTTTGCATGTGGATATTGAAAGAGGGAGTGGTAGCCTGTCTAATTGTTCGGGTAAAGAAGGATTCTGTTTCTAATCTGGGACACCCAGCTGACTCATCAAGTGCCTTGACTGCTTAGGTTTCCCCTTAGGAAAATGGAAACTGAGCTCTGGGGTTTACAGACAGCCCAAACCTGACTCTGAGGAACAAATGGTTTTTCAAAAAGAAAATAATAGAATAAAAATCCAAGAAAAATTAGCAACTAATTTTGATTTCCTTCTGATTGATTAAATGAGTACAAATTTACCTTTCCCAAAGGAAGCTTTTCGAACAATGGATCTAAGTGTCCATTTTAGGAACATGGGTCCCTTCCCACCTCTGACCACTAGGTGGCAGCAAGAAGCAGAACAACCTACTTGGAAAGTACAGCAGATGTCCTGTTGGAGGGGCTTTTTCTTGAGCTGGGTCCTAGGATCATGGTTTTGCTCACACTTTTGCCCTACGTGTCTGTTTATCCAACATTCCCGAGTGTTTCTGAGCTAACTTAGGTACCCAGATATGGATTTTTAAAAATACTAACTCAGCCAGGATTTATAGAGAGCTTTACAAGCTTTTTTTTTTTTTTTGTGAGGAAAATCGGCCCTGAGCTAACATCTGCCAATCCTCCTCTTTTTGC